ACCAAGATATTTCAAAGCAGCAAGGTAATAAGCGTGTATCACGGATCCCAAGCCACAATATCATCGATCAGTGTGTCACAGATCCCAAGCCATAATTTCCGACTTTTCAATGACTTGATTTACATAAAATGATAATCTAAGGAAAGAAAATAAGAAAATAATAATGTATAGATGTGCCTAATGCTTTATGATGATTAGCCTATCAGACTCCCACGTCGATTCTTCGTCCCTAAGCATCAAAAATCCTAATGTATGAATTATATGAAATTCAATTCTAAATTTCAAAGCATAATGAAAAGATCCTTTTTGTTATTGGATATAAGTAAAAACCCGGAATCATCAAACTTACTGGTTATATTTTATCAAAGGATGACCTTTTACATCTTTGTCTAATGAGAAAGAACATAATGATGACTTAGCAAACATGAGCCACGTGAGTATAATCATTCTAGAGAGCCAAACGCGTTGTCTTTACCAATTAATGAATAAGTATAATTTTTGCCAAACTTATTCTGAACAAGCAATGAATTTATGCTTGAAAATGTTAATAATATTATGCAGATAACACCTAGAAAAAATAGATACAATATAGGTGTATAAACTTGTATAATCAGGATTTAAGCACATCATATTTATGTTACCTGTAGTCAGAATTATTTGATATGGTGGTGACCACAGGATTCGATTTGTGAAAGAGCACACAGCGGACTCATCTATAAATGATCCCTTATAGAAAATCGAGCACCATGTTAAAGATATCCAAATTATAAATAAAGTCTCCAGAGTGTTTCCTAGACAGAATAATGCAAGAATTTTGCGTGATTCTCTCCGAATCTAATGATAAATATGTCAAATTGTAGCAATCAAAAGTTCCGCGTTTCAACAATTGATTGTGACTTACCGCTTCTAATATGAGAATCATGTAAGGCAAGAGAAGAACATAGCTTGGAACATGCCAAAAATTATTCCTAATCGGTTCGTTATTATATTTCTGCTTGAGGTTAGACATTTGAAAGGTGTAGAGAAGAATAAGATTTCCCCAAACGCCAACTACGGAGATTGTGGTGCAGAAAAGTGCCGATTGACGTTCGTACACTTTGAAGGTCTCTGTGAAAACCAAAAACTTGTGAGATGGAACAAGAATCTCGTGCATGTCGAAAGGAAGAAATATTTACGTTTTACATTGTACAGGTCGACATATATGGACTGTCCGTAAAATTGCCAGAGCCTTAAACGAATTTCTTTCTAACGTTACCTTTTGGAATATATGATAGGAACCTATTAAAATATGTCCTTTTTACCTATTTTTCCACAAATGATATGTCAAGCCAATAAACAAGATTTCCGTGGAGCACGCGATCACCAAAGAAATCAAATCACTAGTAGCATAAATATCATGGAGACAGCGTTCTTCTTTTGGCAGATCTTTAGGCGCACCAGGCATTAGTGACAATTAATGCAAAGGTTACGAGAAGGTTTGACCCACACCTCACCTAAAATGTAAAATCCACCCGAGTTATTAAAAGGAAAACGGCAGCTCTTGCAAAAAAGGTGTGAGTGGATTGTGTTTACTGCAGCAATTATTACTGGGATGAAGTTAACGATTATAAAAGCGATCGCCATCGATATTGTTTTCCAGAATAACTACAAGGAGAATTCATGAATCGAAAATCGTTCTTTGTTTTAAGCATAACAAGTTAGTGACACTTCAACTCACAGCGTTCGTTCCTGATAAAAGGACGAATGGAAGTGCTGTAAGGAATGGTAGACCGTGGTTTCGGATATAGAAAAAACTCGCATATAAATTCGTGACCTGCAGGAGAAGAGTAATAATAAAAATTTTTTCTTCAAGAAGAAGAGAAGATATCCAATTCCATTTTTCAATTTCCAAGCGATATTTTTTCATTTCTAATTGTAAATGTTTAGAGCAAAGTAGTAGTTTTAACTGGGATTTTATTCGTTTTTAATTCTACCAGTTTGATGATCTTGGCTGATGAGGTCGCATTTCGCTCATTTAAATTGCATCCAGCATCAAGCCACAAAAGATCGAATGCATTTGCCAAACATGAAACCTTACAACTCGATAACAAAACGGTTTGAAAATCCTGCTTTCGTTTTTTGCTGTGCGTACGGAACTTGATAGATGCATGTTTCCTAACTTCTTTGATCAATAATAGTAGTCGTTATGCAAAAGATGCACGAATAATGTACGTTGTTTGTTTGCTATAATTATTACACGATCATTTCAATGTAAACACGGGTCAGGTTATATCCGTTTCCCGTAACGCAGAAACGCGCGAACATTTTTTTAGTGGTCGACACAGTCGAATTAGAAGATTGAGTAAGATCAAATTTATACAAGGAAATATTTTTTTCTTTACAAATATCGAACTATTAGTGCATACAGTATTTATCGAATAAATAAATATACGCGTAATTACAGTATTTACAGTAAACGATACCGTATATTTATTTTCTTTTGATGTTATCCATAATTCCACTAAATTTATCAATTATGCCATTCATTCTGAGGAATTAATAAATGATTCGAAAAATTTATTAATTACAATGCATGTTTCTAACTTCTTTGAAAAAGTAAAAAAATCCCGTCTCTCACAAAAGTTTGATATAAAGTGAAACAATGAAGGTTTATAACTTTGAAAGCATATGAGCACCATTGAAATATTTACATTGACTAACTATGCAGTACCCGCTTTCTGGTTCTTGACTGTTTCTATTGTGTTAACACCATGCCCTCCCTCACATGAAGATTTATGCCACTAAAATTGCAATTCAAATAAATAATAATTTTTTTCCGCATCCTCTCTAAGAAGGTTAGACATGGGTGTGTTTATTTCATGCGTGGTAATCCTAAACGTCGGACCGGTAGAACAGAGTGGTGGATTCTGCTTTAGTATGCATATTTTTGCGTGATAGGTAGAAGTGAGACTCCATTCAGAGGATATTGTGAATGGAATGGTGTTGAGGTTTAAGCGTTCCTGTTGAAAGAAAATGAGGTGTGAAATGTGGTAACGAGAGGATAAAGAGGAATGAAAAACCTACGATGAACGATGTTAATGGGGTATTGTTCCCGGTTTGGTATATTCCTACCGTAATTCTGGCTGTAATTTCGGGAAAAATTTCAATTCTCTAATCAAACATATCATATAATGTAGTTAACATTCAGATACGTACGATTTCCAGGTATCCCTGCGGACCACCAATTTATGCTATGTTGTGTGTCTACTACCAATGGTGCCTGCCCAGGCGAGGTGATGTGTATTTTTGGTCGAGTCGGGTGGGCATGGATCAATATCGAAGAAAGAGTTACCGAAGTGAGTAATATGAACAATAATAATTTAAGGGATTTGGATGAATATTTTACGTATGAAAAATTCATTTCCGTAAAAACAGCTGAGCAAAGATACGACAAGAAATAACTTATATGGTCACGAAAAAAAGAAAATTTGAATTTAAAAAACCGGCCGATACTAGTCAATGCGAATTGAATTTGGGTTTTCATTGAAAATGGTGCGTTCCCGTTCGAAAAAAAATAAGGCAGCTTTATAACAAGATGATTTACAATTAAGTTTTTTACTACACTACAGTACGTGCAGCCTGAATTAACTATCGTAAAGCTAAGCCACAAGATTGCACATGCATTTAAATAACAAGCCCTTTACGAGAATCACATTTTTATCACGGGTCTAACCAATTGGAGATCTGTGACCTCTTAATAACGTTAAATTATATTTAATTTCTTCCTACTTCAAAAAACGTGAGCGAAATCAAACTATTATCGATGGTACCGCAATACCTTTTCACACGAGTTCTACTATCCAACTTTACATATTTACTTGACTCCTTTCTTTAATTTCATTTTCCTTTTGTGATCACCGATCCATCCGAGCTCGTAACAAATCGTAAAAATTTTTCCTTAATATCTGGTTCTTAAAAACAGTGAATATTTATCATAGTTCGTATGAAATTATTTAATCTTGATGTAGTGAAATTTGTGTTTCTTTTTCACTTATTGTAATAAATCATAAAAATTCTCTCGAGGAAGTAATACCTTGAACATTTATTTAAAAAACTATAAGAAAACCCAAACCTTACTCATTGGCCATTATTTCTGATTTGAAGTTTTCGGAATTCACTGTGATTTTTCACATGTTTTTCTTGAAAGCTCGAAGTAGTGCTTAAAATAGTTTAGATTCACCAAGCCAACGCTTGAAATAATTCCGAAGTGTGGCAATGTGAATAAAAAAATAAACAAAGGTTTGATATAATAGTTTTCCTTCGGCAGCAAGAAATTTTATTCAGATTTGCATGTTACATTTTTTACCCCTTGATTAGAAAGTTTTCAATAACATTAACCTCTTGAATTCCACTGCGTAAATTTCTATATTAATGTTATCTATACCGGTTCCAGCATTCATGATTCTAAGAATCGAACACCAGGTTTTTTGCAGCCACACTGCTTAAAAATAGGCCACGTTATACATGTCACGAGCGAGTGTGTGTGGTATCAAAAATCGATTTTCATTTCCAACTTAAATAAATAATTAAATCAAATACTTGAAAAACAATTAAATCAAATACTTGAAAAATAATTTTATTTTTCGAAGACCACTTATTATTCCAATCTAATATTTTAATTTTTATTAAAAAAATTTAAAGCAAAACAATGTTAATGTCCTTTTGTATGGGTCTTATTTTTTTAAATAATAAATAACAAATGAATATTCGTTAAATAATGATTAATAACCAAGAATGTTTATAGTTATCCAAAACAATTAAAAGTTTTTCAAAAATAATTATTGTTGCTTATAAATACATTTTTTTTAAAAAAAATTTTTTATTCAAATTCTTTAGCATTTTAAAAATATGTATTTCGAAATACCGATCTAATGGTAATGAATAGAAAAATAAAAGAAATTTTTTTTAATTTATTAATTAAATTGAATTATAATATACAGTATATAGATTATTGTTTTTTTTTAAAAAAAAAATTAAATATACTTTATATACTGTATATTTATATATTTATTTATATATACAATATAATCTATTTACTGTATTTTAAAATTATATGAGAATTAAGAAATAAATTATTAAATTATATGAGAATTAATATTTTTTTATTAAATACAGTACTAATTATTGAAATCTTATACATTATATTATATGTAATACAATCAATCATACTACAGGATCGACAATTTTTTTCCTTGATAATCTTTTCAATCATGTCTCAAAAAATCTTCGCCTCTTTTCGTCATATCTCTCATGCCACTTTCGCTACTCCGCTCGAAAATATTCAGATCACATTCAAACCTTATCGGTATCTTCCTTCGAGGTTTTATTCTACCCCCCAGATAAAGCCAAATTTAAAATTATTGACCCAATTACGTCAAGAAACTCAAGTTAGCATTATTAAGGCGAAAGAAGCGTTAATAAAACATAATAATGATTATGATAAGGCCATAGCTTGGTTATTGGAAGATTCCAAAATTAGCGGTGTGGCGAAAGCGCATAAGCTTAAAGAAAGAATAACCAAAGAAGGGCTGGTTGGTGTTGTGGTTACAAAGTTTGGTGAGAGGTTTGGTGAGGAAAGGATTCTGAACGGAAGTCGAGGAGCCATCGTTGAGGTTTGATGCCTTCAATTATTATGGTTTTTTTTTTTGACTTTGATATTTGATTATGTCTTTTTTAATCGAGTTTTTCATATGAAATCAGGTAAATTGCGAAACAGATTTCGTTTCACGTAATCCTCTGTTTCGGCAGTTTGTGACTCAGTTAGCTTCAACCTGCCTATTCCTTTCTTCTAAAACCTCTTCAACTTCAATGATTCAACCGATTTCACCCAAAACTCTTCTTTCAACCCCACTTCTACCTTCTCCCTTGTCAAACTCCACCGTATCAGTAACAAACCCTTTAACACCTACAGTACACGAATCGCTCGTGGGATTAATTGGCAAGTCAGGTGAAAACATTAGTTTGCGTAGAGCTGAAATTGTGAATTTAGGTGACGAAGGAAATAATTTGCTCGCCCTTGATGGTCAAAAAATCTCGGATAGAATTTTAGTCACCGGCGGATATGTGCATGGTGGTATTGACGGTGATCATTATACAGGAAAAATTGGTGGATTGGTTTTGATTGAAGTTATCGGACTGAAAGCTCATGATCAATCAAAACGATTGGATCTTATCGAAAAGATCAACAAGCTGTCAAGAAATATAGCGATGCAGGTAGTTGGATTTAACCCTAAAATAATTGATAAAAAGAGTATTTTTAATGAAAATGATATGAATATTGAAGAGGACGAAATACTATTGAATCAAGAGTTTATGATTGGCGGTGGTAGTGTGGAACAAGTATTAGTAAATTTTGAAAAAGAATCTGGCATAAAAATCAATATTTTGGAATTCAAAAGATGGGAAAATGGTGAAGAAGCTGAGGATGTGGACGATTTAGGATTTGTTAATGAAACCGTGGACGCAGCTGGATTATCAAAGACATTATTTTAGAAAATTATTTCGCATCTTAAAATTATGCTAAAATAAATAAATAAATAAATAAATATTGACTTTATTTATATTTTCTAAAGATTGTTATTTAAGTAAATGTTATTGTAGTATGAACAATGAAACTTTTAAAAATAAATACAATTATTTATGATGAAAGTAGTCATTCAATATTAGGATGATTTAATTTAAATGTTAAACAAAATAATCATATGAAAAAATCTTTTAATGAGTACAGTTTGCATTATCTTTATTCTTTTGACACTTGTGATGTCAACAATGATACCGTGAAAAAAGCTTAAATAAACTTTAGAAGGTGTATATATTTGTCGCCTACCTTTCTAAGGAAATCTGGTTTTCTTCTTTCAATTCCGAACAAATCCATGTCTGCAACGATACCCACCGGTTCTAAAAAACCTTACGATACTTTTTATAACAGGCTAAAGCTTTCCTTGGTAAATGATACCGAATATTATTTTCATCATCACTTAAAATTAATATCAATTCATTTAAAATAAGGCTTTGATAATAATACGAGATAAACCAATTGGTTGGACTGTAGAAGGTAATCAATCAACAATTTTTCAAAAAAAAGACAAAAATTTCCATGGTTATTCTTTCCAAGATTCCCGCTAATAAAAATAGAATACATCCGTTTCGTGAATTGTCAACCTTTAACGCAACCTTTAACGGGACAGCGAGAGAAATTGGTAGAGATGACCAAAGAAATAAAAGAGCAGATTGGTAATTATGGTGCCAATGAGAATATGGGCGACTCGGAATCAATGAAGAATCAAGAAATAGAAAACAAGGAAAATGTGGATCATGTTAATCTCGACAACGAAAAAAGTGATAGCAAAGAAGATCAAAATATACAAGTGGAAAATGCTATGGAGGCAGATAATGAAAAATCTGGATGGAGAAAGAGAGCTTTGGAATTGACAAGTGAACTTGAGACGCTCAAGCAACAGTTATGTGCAGTTGAACAAGGTAACCTGGAAATTTGATAAGAAACTTATTTGTGCCACTTACAATAAATAACTTCAATATGTACTGTATATGCGCTAAATAGAGCTCGAAGCCGTAAAAACTAGTATTCCATCTAACAAACGGAGGAAAAAGAAAGAAACGCGGCAAATTAAGGAAGAAACAGAGCAAACTATAGATGTGTCAATGGCAACCTCGAACGAAAAGCAATCTGGTAAAGTTGTAGCCCCGAAAAAAGGTTGCAAACGACAAAATAATCCTGAATGTCAGACGCAAGAAGCTGACGATGGTAACTTAATTTTTTATTTTTTAAAATGTAGTGATAAGGAGTTATATTTCTAATCAAATTTCTTTTTTAAAGGAACCGCAGTTAAGCACATTTAAACATGATAAATTCCGAATTATTGATTATGTATTACTTTATTTAAAGAAAAGTGTTAATGCTAAAGTTAAATTAAAATTAAAATTTGTCGACCGACATGAAAAGGTTTTTGTTGCCGACATAAAAATTTAAGTGTCATGCCCATACAGTAACTCTCAAAATCTGATCAAACCATTTTTTTATATAAGAAATAAATTTATAAAAGGTGATAAAAAGAATGTACATAAAAAAATAACCAGCCTGTTATTTTATCTTTTATTAAATTAAAAAAGATTTCCTATTATAAAAATAGAATTAAATTATAAAATATAAAAATTGTATAATCTATATTGGACTTATTATATAATTAAATATTTAAAATTAATTAGATTGTTAAATAAAAAAAATTTTTCTTATTACAATTTAAATTTCAATATAATATAATATCAATAAATTTTATTTATTTATTTATTTATTTATTTCCTTTTAATAAAATTGTTAGTAATGTGTTTATTACTTTTTTCAAATAATAATAATATAATATTTATATAATATTATATTAAAGTTAAACTATTCTCTTATAGCAAAACATCTATTAATAAATTATTTATAGATTTGTATATCATTCTTGAATTTTTAATATTCAGATTATATTAAGTTACTTATATAATTTAGTTATTTGTTATTTATTAATTATAAAAAAATATATTTGTTAAACTAAATTTTAACTATCTAAGATTTTTCAAATTTTGATTTTTTAAATATAATTATAAAAATAAAAATTAATTTATAATTTAAATTGTATCTTATATAATCTTATAATTTTAAAAAATAAAAATTTTTCAAAATCAATTTTTAATTTAATTTATTTGTAATTGAAAAAAATTATTTAATTTTTATTATTTCTTTATTAATTTTTTTTTTAATGTTGTAATGAAATACTTCTTATAATCTTTATTAATAAAATAAATAAATATTATATATTATATAATTAATAATAAAATATAAAATATATAATTATAAATATTTATTTATTATTTATTATAATAAATATATTTTCAAAAAATCTTAAGCTAAAAAAAAAAACTATTTACTAAAAAAAAAACATTTGAAAAAATTATTAATATTGTAAAGAAATTAAAAAAAAAGAAAATATAATAAGATTGTAACTTTTATTAAATATAATTTTTAAATATAAGTTGTTATTTTAATTAGATATCTGTATTATACAAGTTATATATATATAACTTGATAAATTTGATTATAAGTTTTTATAATATATTGTTGTTATATAATATAATAAAGTTATAATATTAATAATAAAGTAATTGAAATACATTTTTGATATTTGTTATATTGCTTTAATAAATTGTTATATATTATAATTATTTAAATCTATATAAATTACTAATAATATACTTTTTCAATTTAATAAATTATTATATTATTTTAATATAGCTATTTAAAAAAACTCTCTCCTGATCGCGTCCGTTTTGTTAAAAATTTTCCTTTTATAGTAATTTTAAGCAAGAAAAAATGTT